TTGTAAATAGTACCAAAACAACAATGAAACTGCTAAAATGTGGGGTTAAAGTGAATTTGGTATTATCTTTAGAGCAAATGTCTTTTTTGAATAAAATATTTGTACCAATCAACAAGGCTATTAAGAAGAATACCAAGTTAGTTATTCAGAAATTATATTTCAGGATTTTGGTGAGGGCATTGCAAAAACTATTTTGTTCTTAAAATCTTGGAGAAGACAGTTAAGGAATTAGATATCTAAGCTCTGTACTTGCTTTCAGCCATTTCAATAAGGCCTCTAAACACTGATTCAGTATATTAATAACCAGTGCTTTTTTTCTATAAAAAAAAAAAGGTGCCGGAACTCACACACGTCATACAACCCACCTTGCCTATCCTGCAAGGTTCCATCCAAAAAAGGTGCCGGAACTCCATTCTGGGCGTTCTATGACAAAAAAAAGCCCTGTTAATAACTTTTCCTTGTATGTAATATATTTGGATCACTCCTGGCTCTGGGATGACCTTTTTAAAATGTAAAATGTTGTTGTTTTTAATATATTTATGGTAAGGCACCTCAAAGGTTAGATGTAGTATAAGTCTTCCAGATCTCAGGATCAGGCTAAAGACTGATTAGAGGTAGGTGTATATATATCTTCCCCATAGGATGTGGGGCATTTCTTGAAAATAAAGATTATGTTGAAGTTTATCATGGCTACTTCCCAAAGACATATTACTTAAATATGTAATATGTCTTTGGAACAGAATGGAAAATTACTGGATTAAGCATCATAGCTACTAAAATCCAAGACTTCAAGCATGTTAGCTGTATCCAGAGCATTCATAAGATCTATGTAACATTATTTGGAATATCAGCCATTGATACAACATGCTTTTCATATGCTTAATTGACCATTAAAATTTGTTTCTAAGAGTAGATAATTAATGCAGTTAACAGTCCATTTCTTTTTCTATCTCAACAGAAACAATGATACAGACCAAATTAATTATATGTATGCCCAGTATGTCAAGAATACTATGGAGCCTCTTAATATTCCACAAGTGCGCCAAGACAAAAGATTTCCTTGGACAGTAAGTAACATGAGCCAACATACAAAAATTGACTGGGCATATGGTTTGATGTAACTATCTTTTCCAGCAATTGTTTCTATTAAAAAGCTTATAAAATGTAAATAGATGTACTCATGCTGTGCTTTAGCATCTGCCTCAATCTCCATTGAGTTTCATGGAACTGCACTGCCTTCTTGGGCCTGCTTTTCCATCTCTTACTGTATCAGTGGAGGGCCTTCGGCTGGTGTGCTAGTTCTTCTTTCCCTACTTCTTAATAAGGATCCTGCTATTTGTTTGACCTATTTCCACCTTGGCTGAAGAGGAGTGGCCTGTTGACTTTACTAACACAGCCGGTACTGTCTAGTGAGCTTAGAACAACCTGGCATGCAAATATACGTTGAACTAATTGTTTCCAATGTCAGTATCATTCAGTAGCAATGCCTTATTGCATCTTATATGTTAATTAGATTAATTGGTTTTGTTAGTTATTGCTTTTGTTGTTACAAGTGCATTTTGACATAAAATGTATGGAATATTATAACATGGACAGCTAGTGTCTAGCTGTGGCTGCTTTCTTGGAAGGCTTCTTTTCAACCTGCTTGGACCATTGCTGTTATTATCCACCCTCCTTGGACCATTATTCCCACCATTTGATAGTCTGTCAGCCAATACAGAAAGGGTTTTCCATTTAGTAACCATATTTTTATGTATGAACTTAAGTAATAAATCTTCTGAACTGAAACTTAACATGTGATCCTGATATTTCACGTGTATTTATTTTTAATGTCAAAATCAATTCAGATCCACCTTTATAATAAAGACCAAAATATATTTTATATATTATTGTTGATATATTTATTATTGTGTTAGAAAATATACATCTAGTCTGTGTATATATCTACACAAGAGAAAGGGAGAGATACAGAGCTTATCAAGATTGTTTGAAGGACAGGTACACTATCATGTAGAATTTTGCAGCTATTTCCAATTGTTTTCCATATTGCACTTTTGATAGGCAATGCAACATGGAAAATCATATAACTTTGTCGACATTAAAATGTTTATTAATCAACTATTATGAGCTTATTGGAGAAATAACAAACTGTAAAGGGAATACTAGCAAAGAATACATATAAGTGAACATTGGGTTGGAATATTTGGTTTCATCTAGAGCAGAGGTCCCCAATCTTTTGAGGGACTGATTACCTGGAGAGACATTTTTCTGTGGACTGGAGGGGGCATGGTTTTGTGTGCTGCCTGCATCCCACGGATGGGGCTTTGCTTGTTTGTCTGGACTGGTTGCTGGCATGCCGCGGACCAGTACCGGTCCACGGACTGGGGATTGGGGACCCCGATCTATTTCTGAGCAACACCTATCAAAATTTGTGTGATTGTTGTGATTTACGTTAGCATGACCAATAAGTTCCATTGGTCCACATTCTATATATGATCTATCCATTCTGTTGTGATTATGTCCTACAAATATAAAAACTTAAAACTCAGATTATTAAAAAAACTGTAAAAGTTCAAAAACAATTCAAAACTTGTAGCATTTTGTATATTTTATATTTATATTTGAGAACTAGTTTGATGTAAGGGTTAAAGGCACCAGGCTAGAACCTGGGAGAGTGGGAATTCTAGTCCTGCCTTAAGCCACGTGAGTAACTTTGGGCAAGTTTCTCTCAGTCCTGGGAAGAATGCAGTGGTTAAGCACAGCAAAAAATCTTGCTGAAAAAATTCTACTGGTTTATCCAGGCAAGTGCCAAGAGTTAAGAGTGACTTGAAGCATACACCACTTAACGTTTAGTAATTATAGTTGGTGGCTCAGTCAACCAAATAGACTGGATTTGGCATTTTTATTCACCTCTATCGACTTCTTCCCAAGGATCTTGATTAGAGGTTGTTTCATGTTGTTACAGATATCGTCACAGGATGCATTATTATCATTATGGTTGGTAGCATAGTCAGCCAGATTGTTAGACTGAATATGGCATTTTTACCCACCTATTAAGTCCTTCCAGATATTGTTGTTTGATGGTGTTAAAGCTATCGTTGCAAGATGTAATTTGTTCCAAGTAAAGCAGTCTTTTACAATTGATTGATGGTACTTGTTTCAATCCTGATGGCATTCAAGTGATGTTCCAGATGTTTTGGAATTGCATCCAAGACAGCTATGATAATTGGTACTACCTTTTTTTTTTTGCCACAGTCCCTCTATTTCTGTTTTCAGGTCGTTGTATTTTCTGATTTTCTCCAGTTCTTTATCTTCTATTCTGCTGTCTGCAAGTACTGCAGTATCTACCATGCAGATTTCTTTTTCATCAGCAGTTATTAAGTCTGGGATATTATGTGACAGGTTTTCAAATTATAAAGTCCCAGAGCACTTTAGCTTCTTCATTTTCTATAATTTTGTCTATATTGTGACGTGACCAGTTCTTGCCTGCAGGAAAATGATATTTCTTGCAGACATTCCAATGCACTAATTTTTACTATTTTGTCATGCCATTGTTTGTAGTTAGTCTGCATGATCTTATTGCTGCAACTAACTAAGGGTTACGCTGTTTCTTTAGCTTTGCAGAACTGGCATTTGCTTCCTGTTGCTGTCTTCTCAATTCTGATTTTGTATACATTTATTCTTAAGGATTGGTCTTGTGCAACCAGACTTAACTCCTCCGTCTGTTTCTTCAACTTTCCCAATCTTAGTCATTGCCAGGCCTTGTTATCTGCTTTGCCGGCTAAGGTTGTTTTTTGTTTTTTACATGCTGGTCATGTAATACTTTGCCTTACCATCTCTTTTCTATTCTTCATCTTATCTTTCTTGAAAGCCAGTTTGATCTCTCCAGTATTCAGTAAATCTTCATGATATACTAGCTTCAGGTATCTTTTTCATTGTCCTTCAGCTATTCTTCTAATACCCTTTTTTCTTCTTCATCTGACTATGTACTTTCAACATTCCATGCCTACCTATGCTCCTTGGTAAGTAGAGTGTCAACATTGCTGCTCCAACCAGGATGAAGACCATGATTCATTGTCATTATTTTTCTGGTCTTCGTATACAGTGCTTTTAGGTCTGCTTGAGTCTAGTCCACTATGTCAGCTGTATATCTAATTACTAGAATTGCCTAGGCGTTAATTGCCTTGATGGTATTTCGTCCAATGAGTTTGAACTTTCAGGGCTTCTTCATTGTCATGATGTATTCACTTCTAATCTTCTTGACTTCAGTGTGCTTGATGTTTGAAGAATGTCCATGTATTTGTAGTAATTTTTTTCATACAGAGTCGTATGTTATTTCCATAGGATATTTTGATTCCTTCAGTGTTCATTATTTTTTCCTATTAACAGTAAGGGTGACACATTTCTCCTGTCCCAACTCCATTGCAATATCTTGGCTATACTGTATACATGAACAGTATTGAGCAACAATTCTATTTCAGATTATCTTTTTCTATATACAGTATATCTATGGATCTTCCCAGTCTACCCTTTTTCCATATAGCTTCAGATCATTCATGTAAAGGGGATAGGATAACCTGTTAGATGTTTTTGGTATTTGATAGCATGGTCTAAATTGTTCAGTATTGTTGACAGAGGAATCATGCAATGACACACACTAGTGGTGATAGTGAGGCTATTTGAAAGATTCATCTATTGATATTTACCTCTCTCAGTGTATTACCATTGACCAGTATTGTGATGTTGATCTTTGCACAAAGCTTCTGATGTTTCTACTGAATGTTGTTATTTGTAGGCACTTGATTATCCAATCATGTGGCAGGAAGTTGAATGCCTCCTTGTAATCAACCCAAGCTATATTTTGATTGGGCTTCGGTTTTCATGTCCAAGGGAATACTAGAATTCACAGTCTCTTGATTTTTAGGTCAGTTCTATAACTGCTATACTAAGCTCTCTTATGTAGTTAATAAAGTATTATGTTTTGTTTTTTTCCTTAACAGAATGAATGTTCAGACAGTACAAATCAGCACGTTGAAAGCTTGCTCTGCACGCCTATAAAAAATGGAAAGAAGAATAAAGTGATAGGTATAACATTTTGAAGTTTTCAATTATGCTTCAGTTTATGCACATAGGTGGCATTTTGTTCCCATTGGAAGTTGAAAAAAAAGCAATGTGTGAAATTTCTAAGATCATTCTTCACTAATAACCTATCCTTAGACATAGCCACATGTCATAAAAACAAACGAATTTAACATTGTGTCATAAGGACAAATTTTGTACACTGACCTAAAATAGATATTTTTGGAAAACAAGTGGATAAATATAAATGTATCCTTCCAAATAAGATGCTTTAGATTAGGGAATTGGGGGCTACAGAAGAATATCCTGGATAGAATTATGAAACAAACAATAGTAGTTTTACTATAGGAAAAAAACACTTCATTTTTTGCAAAGTGGAGCACCTAAAATTAGCTGATGATCTTGGCTCAGTACAGTACCACCTGAGCTGTGGTTTCTGAAATTTAGAATTGTGTGGGCTGTGACTTGGAGCACTATCCTCCAACCTAACAATAAAGTTGGACTCACCGAATCCTGAGCAGACGGAACATAGTTACTAACACTATCCTAGAACTTAAAAGATCATAGACTATTATTATAAATAAGATCAATCCAGTTTTATTTTTCAGCAAGAAAACAACATGTTTGGACTTTTGTTTCACTTGTCCCATATTATGTGCTGACATAAAATGCAAAACAGTTCTTCTTTAAGAAATTTTCTTATGAAAATGAAAGGCATATTAGGATAAAATGTACTTCCTTTAATGTTGTTAATCAGTGTATTGCAGTGAAGCATTGTCATTTTTAAGCAAAATTTGCACTGCATTCATTTGCCTTCTGCTGTTTTACAGATATTAAGCTGCAGACCTGCAGTAGCAAGCTTTACCCAGCTGTTTCTGAGAAACACTCAAGCAGTGCTAGATAGCTGGTCTTTATCACCCCAACCCCTCAGGTCTTTATTCAGGCACTTAAGGCTTAGATCAGGGGTCTTCAAACCTGGTCCTTTTATGACTTGTGGACTTCAACTCCCAGAATTTCTCAGCCAGCATGCCTGGCTGAGAAATTCTGGGAGTTGAAGTCCACAAGTCATTAAAGGGCTAAGTTTGAAGACCCCTGGCTTAGATGCTTGGGTGAGCAAAGCTCCCCTTTGGTAGAATACAACTCATTTTACTTCTGAATGCCATTTAATCATCTTATTTTGTTTTAGTGGCATGTATGGTTTTTCTTTTGTATTTTTGTGTAACGATTTTGTACATTCCACAGAGTCACATTGTTTGAGTTAGACAGTCATATACATATAAATATTTAATAAGTAATTTTTGAAAATATAAAAATTAGCATGCATATAAAATTAGCATGAATAAAAATAAAATTAGCATAAATGTCAGTTGGGGATCCTGTCTTCTCAGCATCTTTGAGCTACATCAAATGCCAGTGAAGTAATTCAAGTGTTGGACTAGGATTCAGGCTACCCAGATTCAATTCCAATGCCACTCGTCAAAAATCACTGCATGACTTTGGATCAGTTATTCTTTTACAGTCCAGCTGTAAAAGGTTTGTTGTGGGATAAAGGGAAACAAATCTCATATAAGCACCTTGGAGTTATTGAAGGAAAAGCATAATATTAAATAAACAAGAAAGCACTTGATATTTTAATTATTAATTATTAAAACTTCTAATTTCAATAGCAGTTTTCCCGTTTGTATTTTGCTATTTGGTTTGCTTCTATGGGATGCTTATAACTATGACTTTCATGAGTGTGTACCTGTACTTACATTAGCAGTGTCTTTTGGATTATCAGTGACTCACTAATGATATGGACAATTTCAGCCACTTTCTTAACAAAATATTTTTAAACAGGACTTAAACTGAAAGGTGGCAGTGATCTGTGATAGTTCATGTATGAATAAATTCTTAGTTAAGCTATGATTCTATAGATCTGTTGTACATCCAGATAATAGAGTTTCCAAAGTAGATTCCTAAGTGAAGTGCTACATTAAGCACTTACAGTGAATGATGCCAAGACACCTACTTGAATTTAGCAGATAATCAGTCAGTTAAACTAGTGATATTTTCTCTGTAGTTAAAATGCAGATTAATATGCACATAATTTGCAATTTTCAACTAAGAATGTACAAGCCCTGGGTGTGCTAATCTCATATTTATTACAGCATTTTGGCATGCTTATAAACGTTTAATGAGTTTGTAAAGGACAAATTGTCTTTAGGGATTTCGTCAAACTAAATGTCTATTAATAGTAAAAGCCAAGAAGAAAATTAAGACTTGGGATATTATAATGTTCCGTTTGATGTTTTGTTTTCAGCAGCCTATATAAGGAGAAGTAAGCACCGCTGACTCAAATGAAGCTAGTTAAATTTTTTGAAGTATGTAAACCAATACATGAAGATTCAAAACTAAACTTCTGTTTCCACATAGCCTGAATTAATTTTCTTAAAAATGTTGTGGCACAATGTGTAATTTTTGTTTGAATTCCCGGACCATTTAAAAGTTTAAATGATAGATTTCTAATTATTCTTTCTGAAGAAAAATTAAAATTTTAATATAAATGTGTGATACTGTTTTAACCATTCAGTCGTGTCTGGCTCTTGGTGACTTTATAGGCAAAGACTCTCCATGCTACCCTGTCAAGCATAGCTTCTTTCAGTTAAATGTGTGATTAATGCTAATCAATTATGTACTTTTTCAAGGGTATCATTTGGTTGTGGTTTTTTTTAATTATGACCCAGGGGTTTGTCAACTTGCAAACAAGATGGAAGAAAACTCAGGCAAAATAAAAGCTTTCAATAGAAATGATGAACAGTTTTTGGAAGCTTTTGTTATCTTCTGTGGCTTAGGAATACAGAACACCCAGATGTATGAAGCTGTGGAAAGAGCCATGGCAAAGCAAATGGTGACATTAGAGGTAAGAATAAATCAAGGCAGTCTGTATGTACTGTTTCTTTATTGGAATTCTTGCTGACTTTAAAGCAAGCCCAATGTTGTTCAACTACCAAGCTCTCTCTTATTGACTCTATGCTTCTATATTTCCATGTGCTTGCACAGCAGTGGAGGATTTGTCTTCTTGCATTAAAAAAGATATGATTGTGGCACTGGGACATCTTCTCTTTCCTGTCTGTGGTTTCCTATGATTTTCGTCCAGCCCTTCAAAAAGTCATATCTGGGATACTAGCAAGGTCACTGTAGAGTTCTTCTACAGTATTTCATCAAACCATATCAAGTATTGCTGTCATCTTGCCTAGCCTTTTAATTTCCATTAATTATAATGCACATGCTATGAATGAGAAGCCAGGAGATCCTAATGTGCTCTTAACATCCTCCAAAATAACCTGAGAAATCAGATAATCTAGACATTGGTTATCCTTGCATCAACATAGTAAACGAAGTACAATATTTCTAAAATTCAGATTCTGTAATTGTTTCTGAAGGGAAAACTTACATGCACAACTATATTTAGTTGTTCTGATTGGATTGAATTGTAGCGTTCTTTCGCAAAAGTGTGTGAAAATTACTTGACACAGTCTTGAGTGTATTGCACTCTACTAATTCAGGTAGCTTAACATTTAAGGGAAAATATACCCTCATGAAAAAATGTGCTATAGATTAAAGTTATAATTTCAGCTTCATGAAATGCCAGTTAAACACAAATCCAACTCAAAAAGTAAAAATCTTCCCTCCTTCACTCACAGCTCTAAATAATTCTCATTTTGTTCAGTAAATTAAAAATATTTTTTCTTACACAGGCAAAACTTCTGCCAAGATTTTCCTAAGACAGAATTTCTTTTATGCTTGTCTTATGGGCCCTTGGAAAAAGCTAATTTATTATGACAACTTTGTTAGGATTATAATTATAGCTATGTTGTCAGCTATTTGTCATTCATATAGGTACATGGAAGATTTTTAGCTGTTTTTCATAAAAGAAAAAGAGTCCTTTGCAAATTCTTTGCTCATTTAAAGCAATGTTGTACCTCCCCCCCCCCGTGGCTGACCTCAGGAGTCCTGTATACTAGCAGTGTCCAATAATATGATCATACTGTTCTCCATCTAGAATTAATATCAAAAAACCCCAAGCAGAACATTTATTTTAATTTAGTAAAGAAATATTTAAGCATTTACTGCTTCACTGCTATGCATTTAAAATTAATTTTACTGTTTCATTATCAATCAACATAAAATATACAAAATGATTAAATTTCCAAATTCTTGCCACTAATGAATCATCCAAAATACTGGCATTAGTGCTAGTAATGCTAGTAATTAACAAAAATGATTTAAGAATTATCATTAAGAACAAAATGTTCTCTCCCAGCATGAATTCTCCTTTTCTAACTTACCTAAACCATTACTTAAACTGCATCTGAATCAAATAAATTCTAAAAATTTGCAAAATCACATCAAATGTTCATTTCAAACCATTCTTAAGAAATATTCAATTAACGTTAACCACAGATGAGAGAAGAGCCAGTTTAGTGAAGTGATTAGAGTCTCCAGGCTAGAAACAGGGAAAATTTATTCAGGTCCTGCTTTAAAAAAAACATCTCTTGTGGCTATGGGCCAGTTACTCTAGAAAAAGCTGTCCTTTGGGAGTGAAGGTTTCTATCGATCATAGTTTGTAAAGATCATCAGTTTATACTATTCCCTTACTTTGGTTTACACTGAATCGTTATTGATAGAGTGCTTTAGATTTTTAGTATTATAGATTTAAGTGTTGTTAAAAGATCAGTGTCTTTTGGTTCCGTTTCCTGTAAGGTGCTGTCCTACCATGCATCAGCTGCTGAAGAAGAAACAAGGGAGCTCCAGGTAACAGCGGTAATGCCATTTTCTTTTTTCTCCAGTCTATCTAACCATGGTCCACAAGTAGCTGAGGATGCAGTGGAGCAGAGGGCACAATGTTTTTAAAACATATGTCAATATATCCAGTCAGTTGTTATAAGTTATTCTTGCTTTTGGCTTGAAGATTCAAGATGAAGGTATCCTAAAGTAGTGGCTTTGTTAAAATTAATTCGAGCTAGGTTTCAAGGTTCAAGGCAAGCTAGTACTGCCCTTGTGCATGCTCCTATATTCAGTCATCAACCCATTGACAATTTGGTCTGTCTTTCTATGAATGTAGCTATCTCCTTTTAAAACTACATGACAATGAATTCCCAAGTTAAACTATACCATAGAAGAAAATATGTTCATTTATTGCTCCTATATTTTTAAAAGTTTCCACTTAACTCCATCTCACAGATTAAAAAGCAGATTTTTTAATGATTTAGTAGTCTTCTGTAGATGTACGGAAGGGCAGAAAATCTTCTTTCCTTCCTTCCCTCCTTTCCTCCCTCCTTCTCAGGTTTCTTGATCTAGGAACATACTGTGAAGGTTGGAAAATAAACATTTTCTAGTAGAAACATATTTCCAGAGGGACACTCTAAATTAATAACCAGGGCAAATGCAGATGTGGCTTTGTTCACCAGGAAACCATTGCATGAGAAGAATCTACCTCAAATTTCTATTAAAATGCATTTGACATTAACTTGGATTCAAAATTTCCTATTTTCACTGGATAACAAAGATATGTGGGAGTCAGGGCTGTATTTTAAAATATAGTAACATACAATATATCTTCAATTAGGTAAAATCATTAAAACAGCATTTTGAATACATTTCTTATGTGAACTATGGTATATCTGTTATATATTTAGTTTATTTTAACATTTCTGCAATATGCTAAAGAGGCCCATCCAGCCTCTTTATATATGTATAAATCACATAGTTAATGTATATAGAATAAAAGTCTTTCATAAAATCAGATTATAGTATACCAGTATTGACCCAAAGGTCCTTTTTCAAAAGGCAACTGGACTTGAAAAATTACTTTTTGGGACAACCATGACTTGGATGACTGAGAATCTCCATAGACATTTATTCCAGTGTTAGTTGTTATGAGAGGAACAGCTCTCTCCTGTGGTTGTTCAGAAGTAATTCCTAATTTATAAGTAGTGAAGCTAAGTTGATTTCCCTTTTTTCAACACATACTTTACTCTCTGGTTTGGAGATCACATTTTGTCTTCTGCTAAAATTGTACTAGAGCCAAAATGGGCTTCTGTGGTAAATAACTGAATAATGGTTAAAAAAAATAGATATGATTCCTATCCAGTAATGTTTTCAATAAATCTAGATGAATTGCGTTTGGTAGAGTACATCTGGGTCACATGGTGCTTTGGTTTATTTATTTAGTATCTTGAAAGACAACATTTTTCACTACTGCTCTTGTTTGTTTCAAGGCTGCTGTTGTACCATCTGCACAATCTCTCAGGCTCACTGATTTTTACTTCAGTGACTTTGAGCTGTCAGATATGGAGACTTCTCTGTGCACAATCCGGATGTTTATTGACCTTAACCTTGTACAAAATTTCCAAATAAAACATGAGGTGAGGCCACAAGCATGACCATATATGCAGCCAATTATTCCCCAATATAATGTTCTTTAGTGTGTACATGTTTGTATATATGTATGTGTTATATGTATATGACTGGATATAAAGTACGTTTTAAATCATCTATAAAGTCATGGGAAAAATGCATTATCTGTGAAAAACATTTTCTGTCATTTTCCGTGCATATAAGCTCCAGAGGAAGTGGAGTTTGCTATGTGCTTGCTCACCATTCTTACCATATTTGCCAGATCCTTGTCACCATCTACAAAGGAGAATTTTCTCTATCTAAAAATTCTTCCTGAGTTTTTTTTAATTTTGATTCTCCAGAATTCTGTAATCTGGGAAAATCTGAATTGTCTTCTACTGACAGTTGCCCAGAACAAGTTTGTACACCTTACATATAAGGAGAGATATTGTTTCCTGCAGCAGGCAAATTTTCTGTGCAGCTTGTTTAGCTGTGTCCTGATAAGGAATTCCTGCTTTAAATGAGTACCTCAATATAGAGTTAAGTCAAAATATATTGTATATTTCTAAATGCCTAGTGAACAGATTGCAGTGAGGGATTTCCATTTTTCTGTTTTAAACATTGTCACGTCTTTAACATATGGTGGAAAAACAAATTAGCAATTGATATCTAAGCACTTTTTCAGATTGGGCCTCCCTGCAATTAGGCCCTTGTAAGGAAATATAAGCTTTAATCAGCCTACACCTTCCTAGACATTCGCTTTTTTCAATCTTTGGATAAATATGTACATAAAGGAGTGATTTCTTATGCTTTCAAACAGTGCATTAGAGATTTCTTCAAATAAACTAAGAACCTGTAGAATCAGCAGACTTGATCAATAAGGTTGTTTATCACTTTAAATTTAAAGGTAACAAGATACTTCAGCTTATTGGGGATGCAAACATACCTCCTACTCACAACTCCTTATATTAGTCTGTTCTTGAGATTATGCAGCTCCCATATAAACCTGAGAAATAACATGCTTGCTTTCATTTTATTTTCTTAATTTCATCTTTCTAAGTTAAAATATACTTTTATAACTCAGTTCCACAAAGTGTATATAAAAGCCAGATGTGAAATTTCTTGAAGTTTTAATATTTTGGCTTTGGGGTTTTATCTAAAAATGATGGTGTTTATATCATACTTCTAACTCAACAATAATATTTTTGAAAGGTCCTTTGCAGATGGATTTTAAGTGTGAGGAAAAATTATCGAAAAAATGTTACTTATCACAACTGGAGACATGCTTTTAATACAGCCCAATGCATGTTTGCTGCTTTAAAGACAGGAAAAATTCAGGTATGTTTGGATAACCTTATTTATATTAGGCTGTTTTTAAAATCTTAGCTAGACATTGCAACACATTATGTTGAAATTTTACCAAGAGTTAGTTCATAGACTGTAAACATCTTCATGTAATGTATTCCCAAGCTACATCACTAAAAGAAGAAAATAGTTCATAAGAGTAAACTAAGTAAGAGTAAATTAAGAGTAAACTCTGATAGCTAAAAATGCAAATGATATGCAAGCTCTAGTAATGAAAATCAAGGAGCATGGTAAAGAAAATGGGATCAAAATTAAGAACAAAGCTTTGACAACAAATATAGCAACCAGCCTTAGACGTTATAATGAAGATGTGGAGGTGGTGGATAGCTTCTGCCTTTTAGGATCAATCATCAACAGCAAAGGCATCAGAAGTCAAAAATATTTCTCACAATAACACTTCGTAGAGTAGCTTGATTTGAACTTAACATGAAAGACATTATCATATATGCTGGACACATTATGCAAAGATCTAGTTCTCTATTATAGACTTCTCTAGAGAATGCTGGGAAAGGGCGAAGAAAGAAACAAAGAGAATGACCAGCAGCAAGGAGAATTGACTCAAACACGTTCCTGCACTATTGGAAGGCCTGAAGAACATAATTAGGAACTGGTCATTCTGGAGAAAATCTGTGTGTATGGTCAACATTAATTTGGTTGTCATATAATCAATCAGTCTATTGCTATAAGCAGTGATAGTAATATATGTGACTGTGGTTCTTTGCAGTCCTACCACTTTAACTGCAGTTATGTCAGTACAAAGTTGTTAGGGGTGTCAAACTGCCAGCCCACAGGCCAGATGCATCATAGCGAAACCGCGCCCACCCCATTGCCGGCAATGGCAAAAAAGTTGCAATACATCACGACACATCACATGATGTTAGGAGTTTGACGCCCCTGCTCTAGATGATATATTGGCAACTTTTTGGTGATCAGGTGCTAAAACTGCTAAGATGGTTAGTCTAGTGTCACACATCTAAGCAAAATCCAGACTCTTTTTTTTCCTGATTTTTTTTGAGGAATGATAAAATTATTGTTCAGTTGCTTCAGTTTTATGGTTTCTTTGGTTCTAATAAGCTCATGCTTCAGACACCAGTGACGTTACTTAGCCACAATGTCTTCTGTAGCTCTTTGTCAGTTGGCCTTGATTTTTGCAAGCATTGAGGCCTTCTCTTGCCTTTATATTATTTTTCCAAAATAGTTTAGATTATCAGTTTTTTCAAAAAGCAGCCTGGTTTTACTGTATCTAGTACTGGATGATTTGTTCTTCTCGCTATCCAAGCAACTCTCAATAATTTCCTCCAGCACTACAGTTCAAAGGGTTTGTGGAGTTGAAATTAGTTTTCCTTTATTTATTTTCAAATAGTGTAAATATATTTAGGACTTACAAAAATTGCCTCAAAATGGGAGGTAGCTGTGCTGCTGATTTTCAGTAGTTACCATGAAACTCCAGGCTGTCAGTTCATGTACACCGGAGGCTTCAGATTGCCTGTTTAAAGTCTGTGTATATTAGTCTTTAGGTTTCAGATGGCTACTATGATGTCTGTTGCTTTATTCTAAAAATATTAGATATTTACACTGCATGTGGAATGCTGTTCAGTTTGTGATTAAGCAAACAAGTAGAAATCCTCAAACAGAGAATATAGCTCAACTCTACATGGAATTAGAAACCTGTGGAACAAGTACAGCTCAAGAGAGTAAACGCAAATCAAAGTTCTCTATTAGTCAAACTCTTGAACCTTTGCTGTTTGGATATATTTAATTGCAAATTTGGCGCAGCTAAATTTGTGCCTATGTGCATAATTAAGAGTATAAAATGAACATGGTATGATAAACTATTTGCTTTGCATAGTTTATTTTTTAAATATTTGTTGGATTTGTAACCATGAAATATTAAAATAAAATTTTATACAATACAAAATTGCATGATTATTTGGGGGCCAAATAATATATCTATTCAGAATTCTGTGTTATTTGTAATACACATTTAAGATTAATTTTACTCAACCAAAATAACCATATATATAAATCTATTTGCTTTCAGTTTAAGAGTGAATGTCAAAATGTATCGACATCAAAACAGCCAAAGAAAGAAAGAAACAACATGTAAATCATTGGTACCATGTCAAATATTTTTGCAAATATAGTAATTTATCTCTCCTTCATATTGTACAGAACAAACTTACTGATGTTGAGGTACTTTCTTTGCTGATTGCAGCTCTGAGCCATGACTTAGATCACAGGGGGGTGAATAATTCTTACATACAGAGGTGAGTAAATGGCAGATAAAAGGAAAGCATATTTCAGTTTAATGTTTCTATTTTTCATTTTGAATTAACATTTCAGCCATAATATTTAGAGAAGTTTTAACTAGAGAGATTGTGGAATCTTCTCTCAGGGTTTTCAGGGATTCTGTGTATATATTTGTCAAGATTGCTTTAAATCAAAAGCAGGAAATGTTTTGGTGTCCTGGAGCCAGATTTAAATTATTTTGGGTTATGAGAACTGCAATGGCAGAACAGTTATGCAAAGTGGATGAGATGGTAGATCATGTAAAGTAGTAAGGGTTCCTATGGAAGGAACTGGAGTTTTTGGAGGTTTTATGTTTTGGATGAGTGGGTTGTTCTTTATTTTTTAAAAACAAGGCATTATAAACTTAAATAAAATATTAAATAATAAATTAATTAATAAATAAAAATTATTTATTAAATAAAAATACAAAAATATACCTAACAACAAACTTTGGTGTTTTCTCCACAAATCATTTGGTAGCAATATCTTGGTGACACAAAAGGAAAGAAGAATCACATGTTTACACAGTGCCATAAGTAGACTTCTCAGTTATTTCCAGTGCAGTTCCTCCCTCCAGAAATTCTTCCAATGGGACAATTGGTTATATTGATTCTGAGGCAAGAGAAAGGGAGGAAACCAGCCTCCATCCTTTTCCACAGGCAATTGGTAGCAATTGGCCTCAGATGGTGCGGGACAGATAACCATTAGTAAAGTCCAGTGACAATTGCCATTGTTTTGGTCAAAAGATAATATCTTCCAAAATATTATAGCTGTATAGGTTATTATAAAAATATGTTCTCCCCCCTTTCTATGCACATACATACATAATGGCCAATATTAATAGCATAACACATACTTTTTAGAAATGTCTATAAAAATGAAACATAATGGTAACAAGGAACACTAGTCGCTGTATGAGAAGAAAAGCTTTATCTTATTTCTCTGTCTCTGTTCCTCTTTCATGGTATCTTTTAAGGTTAGGAAAGGTTTCTATTTAGGAAAGTGTCTGGAAGAGTGCAAGACACATTACCTTTTTATAGCATTTTATTTTTAAAAAATTGAATTAATACGCTGTAAAAATGTTAGGCAATTTAGAATACAGGATGATTTTTTCTTCTCAGCCAGGTCATATGGGAGAAAAATAATATCCCAGTACATCTTATCACTTGTCTAGCTTTTTATACCTGGATACTTCTCATTTATGCAGCACACAATCGCCCTTCCCTTCCCTCACTGAGTGATGTTCAAAGTTAATTGGAGACCAAATTTTGAAGGATTCTGTATTTTAAAATTTATATTTTAAACTTCGTTTTCCTAATCCTCTGTCTAATTGCAGAGCTGCCATTTTACTTGGTATCTCAGGATGAATAAGATTTTTTCTTTCAGCCATATTTCGCAATTATTACAAATGGGAGTGGGGGAATGTTATTTCCCATATTCTTAACTTTGTAAAGCTATTCTGCATCTGTAGTTAATTACTTCTGATAATTCTATGTGGCCTGTTTTTTGTTTTTTTTTCAGAAGTGAGCACCCCCTTGCACAGCTATATTGCCACTCAATAATGGAACATCATCATTTTGATCAGTGCCTGATGATCCTAAACACACCGGTAAATGATAGTTGTATTTACAAGAAAATCATATCCAGTTTAGTCTTTGAACAATTTCCAGTAGTATCTTTCAACCCTATTCTAAGCTGTGCTATTGAGCTTTTTCAATGCTGTGTGATAAGCTCGGGAGACCTTGTTAATATTTGAAAACACACACTAACTTGACCCTAATGAAAAAAGAAAAAAAATATGCTTAAAAATTCTGCTTAATCTTTCTAAGGAACCTTAAGCATTGTTGGTATAAGCAAGATTTCTAACCTCGTGGAAGCAGTGAACTAAAGGCAAAACCCGTGCATCGTTTTTTTATGAACTTTGATAATGACCAAACAAAAAGTTACAAAATATTTTCAGCTCAATATGAAACTCTTACTCCTTCAGTTACTTTTGTTTCCATGTTTTTGTCAGTTGAAAATTCTCTTAATTTCACTTACATTACATGCTTAAAGACAGATATCTAGAACAAGATTTTTACACAGTGCCATAAACTACAAGGTTGCACACATAGCAAAATGTCAGTAAAATTATATCAGCAGAACATATATAAATAATGCATTTTTGTTGGTGAAGCTGTGCCAGGTCCTGCATCAATTTAGAACAGCATAAGGATTTTGTAGATCACAAAGAGAGAATTAATGTCAGGCAAATTCTATTCCTTGCAATTGAACTGTGCATTTTTTTTCTGCTTGCTTCTGTGCAGGAATAAGGCACAGCAATAAAATATGAATATTTTATATCAGGTGTAGGTGTATATAAAGGTCTGTTTCATCTTCTCCATTTCTATTTTTGGCAGAAGAAAATGGTAGCTGAGATATTTCTATTTTTTTTCTCAGAAAATTTACAACAATTTATGTTTGGGTGTGTTATTGTAGATGCTGAATATGGCAGTGTCAGCAGTGTGCACACAAACATAGACCATGGGAGATATCACAGATGGCATCCACAAAGTAGCTTTTTTCCAGGGTTTGGTGAGAAAAATTCAATAGTAGCTGCTTATATTTTATCAACTGAATAGTTAAAAAAATACACTTTCTTAGGGTTCTTACCTAGTTATGTTTTCCTCTTCCTCAGTTTTAATAATCGAGTTTTTAAAAATTCAATATTTTTGCTTTCAGCATATAAGAAAATAATGTAGTGTGTAGAATTTAACAAGAGCCTGTCAAAGTCACTGTATCATTATAGTCAATGCATTCTTGTCATAATTATTCCATTGTTTTCTTTTGGATGAAGGGCAATCAGATTCTCAGTGCTCTTTCTGTTGAAGAATACAAGGCAACATTGAAAATCATCAAGCAAGCTATTCTTGCCACAGATTTAGCACTATACATAAAGTAAGTTGCAGTCATTATATTTTAGGCTTGGATGTGTGATTTTTCTCCTTTGTTTTTTAAGAATGTAAAAATGTACAAATTTTCCTTTTTAGGCATTTAATAAATAATAAATGTTTGTATGCTTTTCAGAAGAAGAGGAGAGTTTTTTGACCTTCTGAGGAATAATCAGTTTAACCTACAACAGCCTTATCAAAAGGAATTATTTTTGTAAGTTTTTTAAGGATATTTTGTAGTCTGGTTTTTTCCCCTAGAGTTAGCAATTATTGGTTTGCTTTCATTGGGCGATTGGGCTGGGCAGTAAGAGAACAAAAATTACATAAATATGGGTGAATTACTTGCTTCTAATTATTTGGTAAGGTCTCATATTCTTTGCCAAACAAGATTATTTTCCAACATGACTTGACAAAGTACCATATTGTTCCTTGGATGAAAGTCTATTGTTTAAAAGCACTGAACTGTTAAAATCAGTATTCTTAGCTTTCAGAGAAAATATTTGTTTTGCTTTGCATCAGAGTAGTTAGTTTACATTTACAACAGGAATCTAGTCCTTCAGCAAGAATCAGGTTCATTGTGGATGTAGGACACTTTTGCTTTATAGCACATGGTATATAAAAACTGAGGATGGTTTCTATATGCTCTTATGGATGTGGCCGGATGGGAGCTTTGACCTTTTCAGTTAGTACTGACCGGTCACCATACCATGAGCTTTTGCAACATATTATCTTGCTTATTAATGCCCATGATAAATGAATGACTGAGTTGTCACAAATAGCCAATGAAGATAAAGATCTGGCCACAGGCTGAGTCTGTAAATTGTATAGAATAGATCTGGTTTCAGAACACTGAATCATAGTGGTTTCTCAAGTCTTTCCTTTTTTAGTGGGACAAAGTTTTATAGCAGCCCAACATTGGCAGCAGCTATTGTTATCAAATATATAACTCATCAAAAAGGAAAGAATTTTGCCTTTCATGAATTATATGAGAGACAAGCAAAAACAGATGTGATCTACAGTGACATATAATTATGTAAACCAGTGACTGTAATGGTCTGGGCTAGTTGTAGGACATTCATAAATGCTTTAAGCATGGACCGCGTTAGGGAGGTGTTTCCAGCTATGTTCCTAAGAACATGTCCTCCATGGATCTAGTCATCTCTAGCTGCATGCTGGCTGGGGAATTCTGGGAGTTGAAGTCTAAGGTTGAGAAACACTGAACTATACTCTTTCAATAAGGATCAGGAATAGTCACTAAACACAGAAATCTATGACTGCTTAATAGAGAGAGAAAGAAATTGAATGGTGGGAAAAATGGAATAGCAATTTGAAAAGGAGCTATGCCCTCCTTACTGCAATATTTTAAGCCCCACAATAACGAATATTATCATTTGCAGCTATTCAAGTCATGATGAAGTTGTATGTTTCCAGAGTTTTGTTTTGTTTTTTAAATGAAATTTGGGATGTCACAAATATTCTTATTTTGCTATAGAAGTGTTATGCTTTTCAAAATATATACTGTAAAAGTATGGCTTTCTGGCTTTTACAGGGCAATGCTGATGACAGCATGTGACTTATCAGCAATAACAAAACCATGGCCAGTTCAGCAGCGGGTAGGTATCTACCAAAAGCCTGATCAGATTCCTTATTTCCCTGAATGTACTGTTCCTGCTATTCCTCTCATCTGAACCCACTCTGCATTTGGCACAGATATTAATTGCTGCCTAGCAGATTATTGTACAAACTGTTTTTGCAATGAAACGTGACACATTAAAGTCAGTAAATCAGTAAAAATTCTTAAAAAGACAGCATTAAAAATAGTGTATAGTTTCTCTCTCTCCTTTTATTTATAATCTGCTTTTTAAAAGAGCTTATTTAGTAGGTTTGCCCCCTAATTTTAAACCAGAAAACCCTAGTGTGCCATTGAACCTCAGAGAAAGTGGCTAGTAAAAGTCAAGGAGCTCCATAATCATATGGAGACATGAACCTAGTTCTCATACCAATATCTTAACTACTATGCTATACTAGATACAAAGATTATTATCTATAGATTACATTTACTAAAAAAGATAGCAGACATATATTTTCCTTTATGCAGATTGCTGAACTTGTAGCTGCAGAGTTCTTTGACCAAGGAGATAAAGAAAGAAAAGAACTTAACATTGAACCCACAGTAAGTAGAAGCACAACATTTTAAGACTGTTTTGTTCTAGAAATTTATTTTATATAGCATTTTTATTATTTCATGCAAAATCAAATATTTATTTCTATCAAGTATAGTTAGAATTCTTTATCCTTTACCAATAAAGGGTTTGTAGCTCAGGGTTGAAATGAGAGGCTGAAAAGAGCATTGATGGTGTTATCAATGATAATTAAACATCTGCAAGAAAACAATCAAGCTCCGAGATCACCGAGGACCCCTCTTTTTCCTTTATTGCAACCCAATCAGCTTATTACTGAAATATGAAATGTCTAAAAGTTTCCAGAGAACCTTAACAACAAAAGCCCAAGCTTTCAACTTTTTGTATTTATGTGTTAATGCCTTCCAAACAGTGATCACCAACATGTTTCAAACTAGCATTTATGGGATCAATGATGTTCATTTTAGATATACATAAACTGGACTTGATTTCTCGGTGGTTGATTATTTAGCACTGAGAGCCCATAATGAAATATACAGTACGTTCCTTCTCTCTTGAAAAATTGCAATGAAAAGAAAACCTGAATCTGTGATATTGAATTTATGCTTTATTTTCTGTAGGATGTAACTAGCCATTTGATACTGCAATTGTACAATTAGGAAAATATGTATGTACAATGAACCTGAAAATAAGAGTTATTTCCATGATTTATGCTTTCCAAAGAATATGCTGTATGTGTACTTTGTCTGACACTAAAGGAAGTCACCAGAATTTCTCAGTTATTATAATGAGAATACTCTGAGACAAAATGTTGATATAAAGTGTATTTTATATAAAAGGGATGATTTGGATTTGGATGATCTGTATATATGCCCCACAACTTGAAAATACATGTGTGTCTGTTTTTTTTATTACAAACCAGTCAGCATTAACTTTACCATATGAAAAATGATCTATTGAGACTAAAAGCATGATGAAGTCACATTTAAATGCATATTTCCATTTACATTGATTTTTTTTATGGGATTTTGTCCTGGCTCATTTAGAGTCTCCATTAACAATATTATGGTAACATTAATGGATTGTACCTCCTCAATAAAATTCCTACTTCCCAATTAAAGAAATTAGGGATCAACGAAACTGGCTTATCAATGACCATATAGGTTACTGAGACTGAAATGGGATTTGAATGCAGACCAACCTTTCCTGACTGAAAAGGACAAGGTAATGGGCATGGTCAAATTTGGATGCTCTAGAACTAATCTTGCTCCAATATTTGTATTTTTTTTTCAGGATTTAATGAACAGAGAAAAGAAAAACAAAATTCCCAGCATGCAAGTTGGATTCATTGATGCTATCTGCTTACAGCTTTATGAGGTATTCTGCATGAAACTGTCAAAGGGCATAATTATTTGTATCAGTGTTATATGCAAGTACTGAATTAAAAACTGCATTTTCTGTTCAAAGGGATTTAGGTGAAAGCAGATGACAGTAATTACCCATTGAGATGAAGGCTTCACATCCTTAAAAGCACATTTCAAAGAAGTTTAGTTTATTTCAAAGTGTAGAGCCAGACAATATTGGTTTCAGGGCCTAATTTATTCCTTATAAGCACTGAGAGACAGAGGCTCTCCCAAGACTCGATTCTTTTTCCATTAATCTAATTCATGTTTCTGTTTTTGCAGGCATTAACCTACATATCGGAAGCCTGTTACCCTTTGCTTGAGGGCTGCAGGAAGAACCGGCAGAAATGGCAGGCTTTATCTGAAGAACAGGAAAATAATTTGATCATTGGAGAAAGCAATCAGCCCAAACGGAACTGAAATAGACATTTATTAGGACATACTGGTTTACAAAGAAGATATTTATATAGCATAATTTGGAGATACCTAATGTTTTACTAGACACTGTATGAAATAGGTGCATAATTTGCCACTGCTGTATTTAAATAACAAGAAACGTATATTTTTGCACAGCACTCAAGAACACAATATTAATTATTTTTATGTAGTCTGATGTATCATAATTGTATATTTCCAATCGATCTGCAACTAGCAGATCTAATTAGCCCTGCTCAATAGAGGTGTGGAAGTGGACAATTTTTAGGACTGCTTCAGAAAATTCTTGGTCCGGAGTTGTATATAGTTATTTAGTTTTGATCAATGGCCAGTATTTTAAAATTACTGTATGTGGCACTTTCTGTTGTTTTTTTTATAGTGCCTCTTCTTAAATGTAAATAATGAAAAAACAGTGTTGCATTTGAAAGCTAGAAGTTACCAGAGAAGCAAGGTGGGCAGCATTTGCTTGGCATGGGGGAGGAACAGAGCACTGAATTAATATTGCTTGTTCTAAGAAATCTGTTTTTTTCAGGGTGAGGCATGTTGAGCTCAAAGGCTAAAGTACAAGTATCAAGGGAATATGCTGCATCTGTGACTTTTCCTGTCATGGGAATGCTTGAGTTTTACTCATTATGTTGCAGCAGCTGAAGAAGAGCGCAAATGAAATTGTCCAGAGTTTCTTAATAATAATGAAATGTTTAAGAAATACATAATTAAAATTGAACTACTTAAAACTACAAGAAAGAGTACTTAAGTTGTGAAGAAGCTGGAAACGGGACATGTAGAAAGAAAAAAAAGATTAAAATGATCTTCAGTTTATTGGAATCAAAATACGGTCCCCAAAATATGGTCCTGCTTAAAGAACACTAGACAGAAAAAACCATGAAATCAACGGGGTACATTATGAAAAGGCCAGATTTCCTTTTAAAATGGAATAATTGCTATGGTTATCATAAAACAGTATCAAAAACATCAGAGAGAAGTCATTGCCAGTCCTTAGAAATAACTGTTCATATTTTTTTAAGGAGTGGCTTTTCAAATGAAGAATGCTCTAGAATTTCATAAGATTGTTTGAATTTAAAGAAGCACAATCACATAGTTTGTAAAACAGTATCCAGAAATGGAATTGCCAAAAGCATTCAGGGAACTCTGTCAAAAGTAGCTTTAAAAAAAGTTAAAGAATGCAACAACAGGGAATGGCCTAGATCAGGGGTAGCATAGCTGACTCAGGAATTCTGGGAGTTGAAGTCCATGAGTCATAAAAGAGTCAAGGTTGCCCACCCCTGGCCTAGATGAAACAAATCCTGCTGACATTCAAGAAAAACAGTATCCAGGGTTACCAGCTGTCAGGCAAAAACAGAACATATCCTTTTTGTCCTTATATCCTCTGGCTGACTGACATAGCTTTAAAATCAAATATTGTCCAGTTTTTGTATGTAACGAGCTGTCTCTTCCTGAGCAGCTTTTCCCAATGGCACAATATTTACCTAATAAATGCTAAATGCAAATTAACAAGGACAGCTCTGTGACCTTAATTAGTACCTTCCAGTCAGCTTATGCTACTGCATGGGTGTCAAACCTGATCACGTCACATGATGTATCATGACATATCACACCATTTTTTGCCTTTGCAGACCTGGGGTGGGCATGGCCTGTGCGTGACGCATCCGGCTCATGGGCCACCAGTTTGACACCCCTGTGCTACTGCCTCAAACTGACAAGACTTTAATCAGTTACAGGTAGTCTTCAATTTACGACCACAACTGGGATTTAAATTTCTGTCACTAAGCAATGTAACGGTTAAGTGAATCATGCCCAATTTTAGTTCTTTTTGCCACAATTGCTGAATGAATCACACAGTTATTAAGTGAATTTAGATTCCTCCATTGATTTTGCTTGTCAGAAGCTCACTGGGAAGGTTGTAAATGATGATCAAATGACATTGGGATGCTGCAACCATCATGAATACATCATGCCCAGCTGTCAAGCACCCAAGTTTTGATCATATGGCCATGGGGATGCTGTGATGGTTGTAAGTGTAAGGACTGGTCAAAGTAGTTTTTTTAGTGCCATCATAACTTTAAATGGTTGTTAAACTTTTTTTGACAGTTTTTTATTGAAAGTTTTGTTGTGGATGCCAAGAAGGATAATCGGTGTGTCTTCCTTTGCCTGTTCAGCTATCTGGTAATCCTAACCATGTATAAAATAATATTTGGATTGACAGAATTATTTGTCAATATAAATTATTAATATAAAGTGTTTTTGCCACAATACTACTAGAAGCTAGTAGTAGAAAAAGAGGACATATCTTTTTTTTAATAAGAAGATTTGCACTTTTTTTGTTTTAGTACTATCATCAGGCTTACAGTTAGGGCAACAGTTTATTAATGAGGTAAAAGCTTTCATCTGGTTTCTCTCAACATCATTGTATCCTTATACTTTTAGAGAAGCAAAAGGAGCTCATCTTAAAGAAACAGGAGCTTTATTTATTAGGGGCTTCTGGGAAAGGTTCTCGCATTAGCTGTCATGCTAAGAGCTTATTATGAGACTCTGGACCTGGATTAACTTTTGGAAGATGGTACAAATAAGGTCAGTTAGTATGAGTATGTTTTTATAGTGTGCAATAAAAAACATTATGAAATACTGATATCCGTTCTAGGGCTCAAGAGTAGCTTTTTTGTAGGGTTGGCTAATGGTGAAGTTATTACAGGCATTATTGATTGCAACATTTTAAAGTCTCCAGTTAGTCAAATGAAAGCACTGAACTTTGTTTCTCTAACCACTGAACAATATATATTCACTAAGTTTTCCACTCCTGCTCCTACATTTGATAAAAATGTTAGCTATCATTTGACTGACCTTTTTACAAAAACTTATTCATATCATTTCCGACAAATCAATGTAATTTCATTAGTCCCTAGCATCCTGCAGTATTCTGAAGCTAAGCAGGCTAGCCCCATGCTGTTCTCAGATCAGTGATATACGACAAACATTTCTTTGGAGTAGAATAATTTCACACCAAGTGAGGCCTCTCTTTGACATGGTAATTTTAATGAGACTGATTTTAGGGAAAGCTTTCCTATTCAAGGGTAAATGATCTGTAATCTGTGGACGTCCCTTCCAAGAATACCAGTATAGATTAAAATACTACCGTATTTAAGAGGAAAAAGCTAACTGATTAGTTGAAAACTATTAATATTGAGGTTAATTAATATATGAGATTATTAATGCATTAATTAATATGAGAATATTAATATATTGAGGTTAATATATGAGGTTAACAAAATCTAGTAAATGGACTTTAGTATAAAATCTAAGTAACAAATTGCTTAAATTCGTATGATCACTAACATGGAGACACACCACTATTTAACTATAATTCTTAGGTGTGGTAGAATCTCCTTAACTATGCTTTAATCTGCATGATTGAAAGTAAACCCATTACTAATATTTTGTAGGGTAAGTACTGTACAAATCAGGTTAAGAAAGACAGATTATATGTAAACAAAGAACTTGCAGAATTCATTTTTGAGAAACAGGTCAAGCACTACTCATTTTGTCTCAGATAAATACTACTTAAATAGACATACTGAAATAAAGCATTAGAGTATGTCTATTCCTTTATGACAATAAATTTACTGAAAGTTTTAATAAAGTTATTAAAGATTCAGGAAGAAGGTAGTTCTATTCACTTATAAAGAAAGCAAACTCTTTTAGTTTATCATCCTCACTATTTTATGAAGTCTATATATGTACTATGGGAGACTTCAGTTTCATGCATCTGTAAAAACCAAGAAATAATATATTTGGAAATTGTAACACGTTCATAACTTAAAGCATATATTTTAAAAGCATTAAATTCAAATCCAAACTAATTTCTGTTGAATGCTGAAAGAAAATTAGATCAGTGATTGGTAACAATTCATGGATGTTTAGATTTGTGCAATTTAAATACATAATATAGATGAAGCTTATCAATGAAATGTGGAATATGTAGAAGTGTCCCAACCTAAAAATAAAAAGCCCAAGTTCTCAATTTAAGATAATTGGATTTTAGGATGTTTTGTTCCCAAAACATTGACCATCAATTTGTTTCAAACTAACATTTTGGGGTCAATGATGTTCATTTTAGGTATACATATACATAATTTGACTTCTCAGTAGCTAATTATTCAGCATTGGTAACCTTGATGTGTGATTAAAATGTGTTCTTTCTCACTTGAAAAATTGCAGTGAAAAGAAACCTGAATCTAAGGTGTTAATTTTTTCTGCCTTTTCCATAAATTTAAGTAGCCATTTATAATGCAGTTGTACAATGAGAATAACATGTATCTAGAATAAACCTGAAAATAAGATTTAGCATTTTCGGGTTTAGACATAAATATAGCAATTCAGTATTGTCAGGCATATTTGATTAACTCTGGACAATACCATGTTCTTGACTTTCATAAAATACCCAAATTTTGGTAGAGTCATGGAGCCTTGTTCATTCCAGTCAGATTAAAGTTATATTTTACCTTTTTTCTGTAAAAACTGTGGAGATAGATGTGGATTTATCTCTGCAATCACTGCATTTTTCTATAAGCTGTATTATATAAAGAAGCCGATGAACTTGTAACCTCCATTCCCTCGACTTCTACTCTTGTTGCCTTTTATATGCAGAATAGGAAGAATAGTAGGAGATAGAAATAAAATCATATCGCTTTTTCCCTTGGTTTAGAATTCTGTTTTTTTCATATTTCTCTGAATCAGTGGGACAGTCTCCACCCAGCATGAGCTGAAGGCAAAGAAAATAGAGGAAGCAGTACTGCTAAGTTTGCCCTAATTTTCTCTCTTTGCATGCAAAATATGTTTAGCATTATAATGACTGAAGAGGGCATATGTCTTCTTACAATGCAGTAAGGACACTCATGATTTTGAGATGAGTTTATACATCACTTGCTGTACTAATAGGGTTCTGCTTTTCTGAAACATTTGAACAACTACAATGTGTGTATATGTGTTTCTGAACACTGTTTTTATTGGTTACATAGTTGTTAACTTTTAAAAGCATATTTATATTTGAAAGATTCCTCAAAGTTTAGATTTCTCACTTACTTGGGTTACAAATATTTTTTTTATTTAAGGTAGCTACGAGGTCTAGGAAATTAAATATGCTATTAAATCATTTTCTCTTAAGTTGCTATTTATTTGAGTTATTTTTGTTCATTATTGCTTCACTTTCCCAATTTAAAATAATGTAACAAAACAAGTTTAAATTATCGAAGGGTAAAATATATGTACAGATAATCCTTGACTTACGACCACAGTTGGGACTGGAACTTCCATTGCTAAGCAATTCAGTTGTTAATTGAGTCATGCCTGATTTCACAAACTGTTTTGCCATGATTATTAAGTGAATTATCATGGTTGTTCAATGAATCCTACTTTCATTAAGCAAACTCAATTTCGCCTGTTGACTTTGCTTGTTGGAAACTGGCTGAGAGGCTCACAATAATGTGACCCCCTGGGATATTGCATTGGTCATAAGTTGAGGATTGGTTGTACATTTCTTTTTTCAGTGCCATTGTGACTTTGAACTGTTATTAAACTAATGGTCATAAGGCAAGGACTATCTCTATACATAAAATACTTCTTAAAAACACTTGGTTTTTATGCTGATACATACTAACTCTCAAGCTTTAAAGAAAGCATATCGTATAATTATAGTATTTCTGAAATCCCATATTCTTAAAAAGA